GAGGGGGGGGGTGTAACAAAAAGGAGGCCTGGTCGAGGATCGGGCCACGGGGACGCTAAGCCCCGAACTCATCTCAAGATAACCTCAAGATAACCTCAAGAGGCCTTTAGGACATAGTGAACAGTGAGTCTATAGTTCCGTAGAGTTGTACTCGAACAATCTACAAGAGTTATTATTAGGTTAAACTTATGACTTCTTGATCTTATGAAATCAAAAAGTTTAACAACGAGGAACCCATTAACTGATGGGTGAACAGAGGAGTATGGTTAAGTATTGACGCCTAGTTAATCATCCCCTGCAAGGATACGAACCCAGGCTAAATCGCTCGCGAAGCACGGGGTGAGTATGTTACCACTGCGCCACAAACTAAAACTTAAGAGATTGCGAGGAAAATGCTAAAACCAAACTTAAACATTGCTAGGCATAGTATAGCACATATATTATATACTATAATTTGCCTAGGATTACTTGGACAGGTTATGTTCATTAGTTATTTTACGATTTAATAGCCTTCCATTTGGACTAAGTCAATAATACAAAACATGAAGGTTTTCGGGGGTCCAACAGAACATATTGACATGTTTGATCAAATAGTTCCTATAAATACCATCATTATAGGAGGATAGGCTGACTATGTAGAAACCCACAATACGTGTAGTGATCTGAATTGATATTTAAGAAAAGTCTGTTTATTACGCCGTGTTATATATTCGAATTTGCTGGTTGTCTGCTACAAGTCATATACATTTCACCATTTGACTTATTCCTTTGGCTGGGAAAGTGGTATTCAAAAAGTCTTTCCCGCCGTTATTTTATTAACAAAAAACTCGGCACCTATACTTTATCCCTGGTATGTTTCCGAAATTACATTTCGGAGTAGAACTGAGTAAAATTGAAATTGGAATTAAGAAAGGAGAGAGGTAACTCACAGAGGAAGAAGCAGTAGCAGGAGGAATGGACGATAAACTTGATGAAGGGCTTCTTCATAGCTTGGCCGTAGGAGGAGCCTGGAGCGAAGAGGTAGGCGATACAGTACATGGGGAAGATGCAGCCTATCTTGGCGATCTCCATCAGCTGTTGGACGAGGCTGCGTCGCTTGAAGCCCGGCATGCCGTCGTACCACACCCGCCCCAGCAGCTGCTGCACGTTGGCGTGCGCCACAAACTGACCCAAGGAAGAAAGTTCCACGTGCCTTAATTACCACCTCATGCACTCAATCACCACGTCATGCACTCATCATTACGCCTGTTCAACACCACTAGATAATTCATGAAACTAACTCTTGATTAAATAGTCATTCAGACGTCAAATATATTGTATACATACTACAGCATTAATGTTGTTTATTATGGTTTTTCCGCACACGACGGAAAATTATCGTGAACTAATCGCTTCTCTTCCGTATCCTAGTAAATGGTATGACAGCCAGACTGTCATACCATTTTCTTACCGACTTCTGGTTGTTGTTGACGGCCTCTTTGAGCCTGGCAAGGTGCATGAAGTCTCCGTGCTGGTACGGCACTCCCTCAGGGTCGTAGTTGAGGATGATCTCTAGTTCGGTGATGGACCTCGTCTCGTCCACCAGGGCCATGGAGAACTCCTGCACTTGTTGTCTAAGATGCTGGCCCAACCAAACCAAACAATATCACTAAATATTTCGTCTACTACTATATGTTAACCAAAGCAATAGTGAGTCGGTATTTGCTTTAACGACCTTAATATTAGATGCTCCCGCTTTTATCATTGTTGATATTGATAGACAGAATGAGTTGAAATGAGCCTACATTAAATTTTAAAGAGAGGAAAACTAAATATTCTTGCTTGTATTCAAGTTACTTTAGTTGCCCCTGTCAAGCTTTGCTGTTAGTCGTAAATGTTGGCAGTTGGGAGAACGGGGGAAGACGGACGTACCGTGTAGTCATCCATGAATTCGTTCTCCATCACCGCCAAGTTATCGAGGTCCTCGCTGAGGATGAAGGTGGTGAGGAGCGGGTCCTTGCTGGAGAGGCAGATGAGGGATGGCGAGGCCAGGGCCTTGTAGGCATTAATCCTCGAGTGGGAGTGCCTGGTGCGTACACACAAGGAGAGTGCATGTTAAGGTTGTTTTATGAAGAGAAGGGAACTATCAGCGCCAAGCTATTACGACTATATAGCACTGGGAAGGGATCAGGATAACGATTTGGGATGGGACGGGGGAAATGAATGGTGCCCAACCACTTGGACGGTCGGGGATTGAACGCCGACCTTCATGAAGGGAGACCGTCGTTCTACCGTCCAAGTGTTGGGTACCATTCCTTCCCCCTGTCGCATCTCGTTGTTTTATGAGCGGAGGTTAAGTTTAAGATGTTTGGTCCCGCTTATTGGAAGCCCATCCCCTGTGTTATTTCCAGCTTTTTGAGGTTTTGTTATCTTATGTTGGGCCTGGAATGGGTTGTACCTTGTTTACCCTTGGTGCGGTAGGAGGTCGTCCAGTTGGTGATGGTGCTTTTAAGTGTATAATGCTGGGTCTGTCACTGAAGTGGCATAAGAGAAGTGATATGTCTTCCCCCAAAGAGAGAAGTGGTATGTCTTCCCCCAAAGAGAGAAGTGGTATGTCTGCACCCAAAGAGAGAAGTGGTATGTCTTCACCCAAAGAGAGAAGTGGTATGTCTTCCCCCAAAGAGAGAAGTGGTATGTCTTCCCCCAAAGAGAGAAGTGGTATGTCTTCCCCCAAAGAGAGAAGTGGTATGTCTTCCCCCAAAGAGAGAAGTGGTATGTCTTCCCCCAAAGAGAGAAGGCCCCCAGCTCCCAGCACAAGAATGTGATTCTCCCGAACTCCAGAGCCGACTTAGCTTAGGTATCTACCTCCCATTACCCCAGATGTTGCACTGACCAGGTAATTCATGATAACGTAACTGCATATTGCAGAGCGAGGAGGGGGGAATCAGCTAGACATACAAAGTTAACTAACTTACTAAAGACTTACCTGAGGGAGTCCTCGGCGCTGGAGACGAGGCACTCGTCACAGGCGCACTTCACGTCGTGAGGCATCGGCAGTGTGGCGCCGCGGTCCAGCAGTAACTTCAGTATCTCGTAGTTATTCCTGTGACCCGCCAGGATCAGCGGCGTGATGTCAGGAGTGAAGTTTGTCCGCTCGAAGTTGGTTTTCTCCCAGGACTGCCGAAGGAGAGGAAATAAATATTACTCTCACGACTGCTACATAATTCCTGAAGCTGCCTAGCCGCTTCCACGCTGCCTCGTTGCTTCGTCTCCTTGATAAAACTGCTATGTAGTTATATTTTGGACAGTGTCCTATTCACCGTTCGTTTTCTACTGGTCACGCATTATGGCGGAATTAAATGTTCATATTTTATGGAATATTCAACAAAAAGGTCAAAGGGATGGTGAAAGAGATATATAATACTTACGTAAGGTTCTCCTGGCTTGTGGATGCTTTCTTCGTGGGCCAGAAGGACCTCGACGCCCTCCACGTACTCTTCAGCGATGGCGAAGAGCAGGGCGTCCTAGAGAAGAGAGAGAAAGAGAGGTAGCGGTAGTAAGTGGCAAGCCTGAGGGCGGCTGTGTGGCTGCGGGCGGCTGTGTGGCTGCGGGCGGCTGTGTGGCTGCGGGCGGCTGTGCGGCTGCGGGCAGTTGTGTGGCTGCGGGCGGCTGTGTGGCTGCGGGCGGCTGTGTGGCTGCGGGCGGGTGTGTGGCTGCGGGCGGCTGTGTGGCTGCGGGCGGGTGTGTGGCTGCGGGCGGGTGTGTGGCTGCGGGCGGCTGTGTGGCTGCGGGCGGGTGTGTGGCTGCGGGCGGCTGTGTGGCTGCGGGCGGGTGTGTGGCTGCGGGCGGCTGTGTGGCTGCGGGCGGCGGAGAATACTTGAGAGGTCGTAGAGGTCATTCAGGATGTCAGTAAGAGAGCAGAGAAACGTAAGACAAGAGATGGGAGACAATCCTCCTCAAATGATAGTACTTGTAGGAATTATTTGGTCGAACGTTCAAAAATGGACTTTTACAGCCTACTGTGTTCACGTTTTGTACGGCACGATAAATCTCAAATATGTAAACATTGCTAGGCCTGGTACCTAAGCGTATAGTAGCCTAACAGTATATTAAAGCTTAGTATTACTTGAACACATCAGGTTGGGTTCCTTATATAGTTCCTTTTGCATTTCCTAAGCGTGCCAACAGTCCATTTGTGTACGTGTAACCAAAAAGTTCTTATAAATACTATCATTTTAGGAGGATGGTCCGGAAAATAAGACAAATTCACCGAGGGAATTATCGAGGGACAACTGACTTGAAGGCACCGTGAAATTAGGACGTGTAGATGAGCGACTGTCAGCGAAACAGCAATTCTGACAGAAGGCGCATGTTTCACTAAGTACCAAGAGTTAACGTAGACAGGCGCTAAATTACCACTTCCTGTTTCAGTGACAGGAGGAAGAGAAAGAGATAGATCATACTTAAAAGCATGATCTATCATACTTAAAAGCATGATCTATCATACTTAAAAGCATGATCTATCATACTTTTGTTTTGTTGTTATTATTTATTATTCAGAATAGGTGACCATCTGTCTCTCTAGCGGTTATGGATCGCGTTATGAATGATGTGGTAGAAGTGCGAGTAAGGAATTAGCTTCTGGGAGAGGGGACAGACACGGACAGTTTCTTTCGTAGCTGCGACATCTGCCAGGCCACTGCAGGCGACATCAATATCCCCGCGAGGCCACTACAGGCGATATCAATATCCCCGCGAGGCCACTGAAGGCGACATCAATATCCCCGCGAGGCCACTACAGGCGACATCAATATCCCCGCGAGGCTACTACAGGCGACATCAATATCCCCGCGAGGCTACTGCAGGCGACATCAATATCCCCGCGAGGCTACTACAGGCGACATCAATATCCCCGCGAGGCTACTGCAGGCGACATCAATATCCCCGCGAGGCTACTACAGGCGACATCAATAACCCCGCGAGGCTACTACAGGCGACATCAATATCCCCGCGAGGCTACTACAGGCGACATCAATATCCCCGCGAGGCTACTACAGGCGACATCAATATCCCCGCGAGGCCACTGCAGGCGACATCAATATCCCCGCGAGGCCACTGCAGGCGACATCAATATCCCCGCGAGGCCACTGCAGGCGACATCAATGTCCCCGCGAGGCCACTGAAGGCGACATCAATATCCCCGCGAGGCCACTGAAGGCAACATCAATATCCCCGCGAGGCTACTACAGGCGACATCAATATCCCCGCGAGGCTACTGCAGGCGACATCAATATCCCCGCGAGGCTACTACAGGCGACATCAATATCCCCGCGAGGCTACTACAGGCGACATCAATATCCCCGCGAGGCCACTGCAGGCGACATCAATATCCCCGCGAGGCCACTACAGGCGACATCAATATCCCCGCGAGGCCACTGCAGGCGACATCAATATCCCCGCGAGGCCACTGCAGGCGACATCAATATCCCCGCGAGGCCACTGCAGGCGACATCAATGTCCCCGCGAGGCCACTGAAGGCGACATCAATATCCCCGCGAGGCCACTGAAGGCAACATCAATATCCCCGCGAGGCCACTACAGGCGACATCAATATCCCCGCGAGGCCACTACAGGCGACATCAATATCCCCGCGAGGCCACTGCAGGCGACATCAATATCCCTGCGAGGCCACTACAGGCGACATCAATATCCCCGCGAGGCCACTGAAGGCGACATCAATATCCCCGCGAGGCCACTGAAGGCGACATCAATATCCCCGCGAGGCCACTGAAGGCGACATCAATATCCCCGCGAGCCCTGCCAAACCTCCCCTCACTTACATCTGCTAAAAATAAAGTACAGCTAATGTAGAATGTTGATCACACGCGATGAGAAAAAAAAATCCTGGCCATGAGAGCACTGCAAGAGTCAGGACAAATATCAGAGGAACCAACACTATGAACGGACTTCCATCAGCTGGAAGGAGATGAGATGCGGTTCGGAGGACCCATATACGACACTTTGAACCTCGCAAATAATATATATACAGATGCAAAAAGCAAGAAATATATAGAAATTGTAGCATAAAATTGAGGTGATGTTTGCCTACCTTGGTCTCCATATGCAGGCGATGAGTCACAATAACGTGGCTAAAGTATATCGTGAGTAAAGTAAAGTGGCAAGTCACAATCGACTTGAGAATGGTCCAGGACGGACCGAAACGTCGTCGTCCCTTCACCTTGTAGTGTGTGGTCTGGTCAACATACCTTGGTCTCTATGTTCTCTGCGAGTAGCATCTCCATCATGTCCATGTTCTCGTTTTCTACGGAGATGATGAGGGCCGAGCGTCCCAGCGGGTCCAGGCAGTTGATGTTGAAGCTCCCCACCCTCTTCTCGTTCTCCTTCATCCCTTTCTTGATGATGCTGTTCAAGAGAGAGAGACAGTGTGAGAGACAGACGGAGCGAGTGGACTCCGCAGCCTCTTGATGATGCTGGTGCTCAGATAGACAGGGAGTGAGATGGAGAGGTACACAGACACAGAGGACGTATGCTAATATACGTTAATCTTGTTATAGGTTTAGTTTTGTATAGTTTTTCTAATGGAAAGTATTTTAAACACCATAAATACTTATTTATTTAAATTCATTGTTTCCAGCCTGCTGCATCATGGTTCCAGGCCAGAACCTGCAATCTAGGGAGAGTTCCTCAGCTTCTGTACATTCATTATAACCCTTAACTTGTATCCACTTCATTATATCAGACCATAAATATAAAATAAGAGACCGACACAGGCACAAGGAACACCACCTCATGGACACCATCAACCAGAATAAAGGAAACTTGTAAGTTTAATACCCCGCCCCCCCTTGCTAACATATTACTTTATAAATATATATTGTAATACTTGAGCCTTCGTGAGTCTGGCCACTTCACTGCCCTCGCCTGACCTGACCTCATGTCTTTCACCTCCCCCTGACTTCACTGACCTCACCCCACCTGAGAGGGGTGAGGTGGACTCTGTACAAGTCCACGGTCCAGTATGTATCTTAAAGGCATAGATCTTTACGGGTTCACCATAGCCCGTGCTACATGGACATTCAGTTCTGAGTAGCTAGATCTAAAACAACAACGTGTCTCTTACATTTAAGCAAGGCATTACAAGCGGCATGTTACCTACCATTAACGTCTGCTCTAATATTGGTGTTTCAGACCATAATGTGAGTAGACATTGGTCCATACTCATATTAGTATGATCTCCACCTTTGTGGACTGGTCTTAACCTGGCTTTCTCAACCATTGTTTTGAGTGCTCAAGTCTGCTCTAGGTAACACCTCAGGGCTCGGGATATATATAGACAACTCTGATCATTTTCAACAAGTCTTTCACTGTGGCTTTTTGTTGCAGGGATCTTATTTACTGGGGTTGTTTTTATTAATGAAAAATCTTGCACAATGGAACCATTAGGACGTGATGTATCTTTGATTAGATATTAAGGCTGTACGATAGGATCGAACCCGCGTCCTTGGACTTCCCAGACACACTATTAAATTCAATGATAGCGTCAGCACCTAGCGGCACCTTGCTACCATCAACAGTGAGTCTGAACAGTTTATTGTGTAAGACTGTTTTTGATCAGACATGCCGCAGTGCTTGTTATATTTTGTCTCGTCTCAATTTATTTGTTGGAATTTATTTTCATAGTTACTTAATTACCGTCCTTTGTTATTTTGGATAATATCGTAGATAGCTGTGTGGGTGTAGACTGTCTGAGTGTGCTACAAAACGTTTGCCAGGTTAATACAGGCTGTGTAGTGCTGCTACTTACTGCTTAACAGAGGGAACATCTCCCCTCTCCACGTAGAGCAGGTAGCGCTTCTCCTCGTCGGTGAGGATCTGCTCAACATCCTCCTTTTCCAGGCACTTGAGATCTTCCTGGATCTTGACCACAATGTTTGGCGACTCCGGGCGGGCGGGGGAGGTGGCCCTCACCTCCAGCCTGTCGCCACAGCCGCCACTCTTGTCTCCTGTGGCACCCATCACGCCACTCACACGCCCTTACGATGCTGCAACTCCCGGCACTCTTTGCTCAAACATCCGACGACCTCAGCCTCGCGGGCGGACCACTGCGCCCCAGCCGACCGTGAGCCCCTGGAACAACAACAGGCACGTCGTAGATAAGGCTCCGAGAAGGGGCGCCAGCCACAACAACATAAGACAACGTTGTAACGTTATGCCATTCCCATGTTCTTCAGTGCTTCCATGCACCACCCATCCTTAAGTTCCATTAGTGCGGGTGGTGTGGGGGGAGCAGTGAGTGCGTAGGCGGCGTGCGTGGTGGTGCAGACGCCGGGGGTTCCAGACGTCCACTGTCGCTGCGAAAATTCCATCACCCCGCCGCTGAAACCCTTGACGTTCACCACAGACGCTCCCTCCTGTCGGCTTATTCTGATCCTCTCTTCACTCTAACAACCCCTCCCCCCCTAATCTCCTCCCCCCCCCTCACGCAAACATGACCCCCCCCCCCCCCTCGCCTCCTTCTTCGACCTCAAAACTATTAGGGATTCGCTTTGTCCGTTTACAAAAATTTACATCAAATGTAAATTTTCATTCGAACAACTCAAGATTATAATCCATATGACAACTATTAATATAGAGAAGGGTCAACTTGTCATCCATATGTCAGCTATTACTATAGCGAGGGTTAATTTGTCAAAGATTATTAAAGTTTCTTACCTGTTTAATCTGTTATATAAAGTACACAAAGCACAAAATTAATATCAAATAAATATGTACATATTACTAAGATAATGTTTGAAATAACTGGAGAGTAATACGCGCTCTTTACAATGGTATTCTGTTCTCAGTGAGGACGGGAAGCCCGCCAGGCTAATCGCTGTTCCCCCACACAAGCCGACGACTGATCTTTCCCAACATGCTACCCACGAAGGGCGGCACTATCCTCAGTAAATATTTTCTGCTAGGTGAATAGAAGCATTAGGTGTACGGGAACGTGGCTAACATCTTGCTCTGCCCGGGAGTTAAACCCTGAAAATGGTTTCACTATAGCCATACTATAGTGAAACAAATCATCACAGTGGTTCAAACAGCTGTAAGTACGCTCACACATGTCATGATTAGACGGCAATGCGTGCGCTGTTTACAAGCGGGATTGGTCAAACGTAAATATATGTCATCTCCAACGAGGCAGGATAGTGAGGGTTCATGACAGCTGTGTCAATGCTACCACTGACTTACATGACACTGAGGAGTCATGGCCCACCTGAGTCATTGCAACAACTTATGACACTGTTTATACCGGAAACTACTAGCACTGATCCCCCGTTCCACTTCCGGCACTGACCACTGATGTACTAAATGCCTGTGACATTTCCGGTGCGGTTCCCTATACACAGCAAGAATGGCACTGGTGCCAGAGGCATCAATAGCACATTTCAAAAATAAACTGATGACATTACCGCATGCAATATTGATCTGCGGCACTTACATCACTGGTCTCCGCGGCACTGAGAATTGATTCGTGTTGCGTGGCATAGCTGGCACTGATTCATCCGGCACAGCTGGCACTGATTCATCCGGCACAGCTGGCACTGATCCATATGGTACTTTTGACATTGATCCGTATGGCAAAACTGACACTGATCTTTTTGGTGCTTCTGGCACTGATTCTTGTGGCAGTTATGGCACCGATTCTTCCTGTACTTCTGGCACTGATCTCCTCGACGATGCCGACTCTGTTCCATTTGGCACTTACGGCACTGATATGCGAAGCACTGATCTTTTTGAGACGGTTGACATTGGTACCTGAAGCACTGCTGACATTGGTATTTGCGGCGCTGATGGCACAGGCTCTTGTAGCACTGCTGAGGTTGATCTATGTTGAAATGTTGACCCTCTTCACGTGGGTTAATGTGGCACATATGATGCCTACTGCACTGTTGGATCTGATCCCTGTTGCACTGTTGGCATAGATCCCTGTTGCACTGCTGGCATAGATCCCTGTTGCACTGCTGGCATAGATCCCTGTTGCACTGTTGGCATAGATCCCTGTTGCACTGTTGGCATAGATCCCTGTTGCACTGCTGGCATAGATCCCTGTTGCACTGTTGGCATAGATCCCTGTTGCACTGCTGGCATAGATCCCTCTTGCACTGTTGGCATAGATCCCTGTTGCACTGTTGGCATAGATCCCTGTTGCACTGCTGGCATAGATCCCTGTTGCACTGTTGGCATAGATCCCTGTTGCACTGTTGGCATAGATCCCTGTTGCACTGTTGGCATAGATTCCAGTTGCACTGTTGGCATAGATCCCTGTTACACTGCTGGGATAGATCCTTGTTGCACTGCTGGCATAGATCCCTGTTGCACTGTTGGCATAGATCCCTGTTGCACTGTTGGCATAGATCCCTGTTGCACTGTTGGCATAGATTCCAGTTGCACTGTTGGCATAGATCCCTGTTACACTGCTGGCATAGATCCATGCAATACTGACCCCAGAAACATTGGTCCATGTGGCACTGTTCCCTTTTACATTGATATCTTTGGCACTGCTGATTCTGCCCCACGTAACACTTATCCCTGCAGCACAGCTGGCACTGATCTGCTTGGCACTGCCTGCAGTGATACGCTTGGATAATTCTCTGTGGCACAACTTGTCCTTGTGGCATTTCTGGCATTGATCTGTACAGCAGTGCTGGCACTGATGTCTGTGGCACTGCAGAAACTGATCCCTGGGATACTGCTCTCGCTGGTCTTTTCGGCACTGCTGGCACCGGTCCATCTGGCACTGACCCATCAGGCACTGGTCCCTCTGGCAAGCATCCCTGTGGTGCTGCGGGTATTGATCCCTGTGGCATGATGTCCTGATCAACGTGGCACTGCTGAAACATGTCCCTTCACCATAAGTGGCGCCAGTTCTTGTAGCACTGATTCTGTGGTGAATGGAGGGAAGAGCAGCCTTCAGCAACTTGTGGTCGCTTATAGTGTTTCTCCGGCTCGCAGAAATCTATATGAGCCGTAACCGTGAGCGCCGGGGAGACGACGAATTATATACCATGGGAGAGCTGCAGGCGACGGCTATCGTGGGAGAGCTGGAGGCGACGGATATCGTGGGAGAGCTGGAGGTGACGGCTATCGTGGGAGAGAGGTGACGGCTATCATGGGAGAGCTGGAGGCGATGGCTATCATGGGAGAGCTGCAGGCGACGGCTATCATGGGAGAGCTGGAGGCGACGGCTATCATGGGAGAGCTGGAGGCGACGGCTATCATGGGAGAGCTGGAGGCGACGGCTATCATGGGAGAGATGGAGGCGACGGCTATCATGGGAGAGCTGGAGGCGACGGCTATCATGGGAGAGCTGGAGGCGACGGCTATCATGGGAGAGCTAGAGGCGACGGCTATCATGGGAGAGCTGGAGGCGACGGCTATCATGGGAGAGCTGGAGGCGACGGCTATCATGGGAGAGATGGAGGCGACGGCTATCATGGGAGAGCTGGAGGCGACGGCTATCATGGGAGAGCTGGAGGCGACGGCTATCATGGGAGAGCTGGAGGCGACGGCTATCATGGGAGAGCTGGAGGCGACGGCTATCATGGGAGAGATGGAGGCGACGGCTATCATGGGAGAGGGGGAAGGGAACTATCGGGAGAAACCGCCAAGCCATTGCGACTATATAGCACGGGGAAGGGATCAGGATAAGGATTTGGGATGGGACGGGGGAAGGAATGGTACCCAACCACTTGGACGGTCGGGGATTGAACGCCGACTTGCGTGAAGCGAGACCGTCGCTCTACCGTCCAGCCCAAGTGATTGTGTATCATGGGAGAGCGACAGCTTCGGGTGCAATTGTTAGAATGTTTACTAAAACAGTTATAACTGCCTTAATGTCTTTTCTGTAAACAGTGAAAGTGAGCACTTAGTTCTTTAATTAAAACTAAGACATCTAAGAATGGTAATTCGACTCTGATTCCTACTCAGCTTTAAATTTGATGCTAGGGGACTAATTAGTTCAACCAGTTAATGACTTGAGGAGGAAAAAAACCATTTTCCAATAAGTAAATATGTTATCTTGGGGTATGTCTTGTGACGTCATTGTTTTCTTAAGGACAGAAGACAGTCGCAATCAGAGGCGAGGTCTCCAGCTGGAGGAATGTAACAAGTGGGGCCCCCAAGGATCAGTCCTGGGATCACTACTGTTCCTAATTTATGCTCATGATCTACTCGAGGGAGTGAGTTCGTACATGTCAATGTTTGCGAACGATGCCGAAATAATGAGGACTGAAGAATGTTGCAGAATGACCTTGACAAACTCCAGGATTGGACAAACATATGGTTGCTGGAGTTCAGACCTAATAAGTGTAAGGTAATGAAGACAGGGAAGGGAGAAAGAAGATTATAAGATCTCCATTAATGGAAGGCAATTGCAGGAATCTGAGAGAGAAAGAGATTTTGGAGTGGATATAATTCCATCACTAACACCAGAGGCACACACAGGCAGGGTGACATCAGCAGCATTTGGGACGCTGGCAAACATTAAAACGTCGTTTAGAAACGATCAGGACGCGTTCAAAGCAATCTACACAGCTTTTGTTAGGCCAGTACTGAAATATGCAGCACCCGCTTGGAATCCATACCTTGTGAAACATAAAAGTAAAATTTAAAACGTGCAGAAGTTTGCTCCTAGATTAGTGCCAGAGTTCAGAGGGTTAAGTTAAGAGCAGAGACTTGTAGGTACTCCTCTCCCAGCCTTTCACTCTGCACCCCAGCCCTCCCCCCTCTCCCTGTTGTTGTTATAGATTCAGCTACTGGGAACAAAAAGTTCCAAGTAGCACGGGCTATGGTGAGCCCGTAAGTGGACTTACCTGGCACAGGAGCGGGGCTGTAACTTGTCCCATTTGAGATCAACCCCCATCTTGACTGACCAAGTCTCCCGCGAATGATGGGGTGCCTCAAACCCAGCCTATAACCAGATCAAAATAAGCTCAATATAACTCAATACAAACCAAATGATTGTGAACAACCAAATGTTGGAAGGCTGGGTGTCCGACAACACTGAACCATAAGCCACTAACATCGGCTTCCTTAGCACAGGCAACACCATCGACTCTCAGTACCACGGCGCCTGCCAGCACCAACAGCCTACTCAGCCCTCCACTGGCAATCGTTCTCTTACAAAGAACGTTGCTTTTCACTCGTATGCGTTACTGAAGCCAAAAATTGTCGTACTAGAAAATGGAAGTGGCTGGCACAAGTCCCGTACTATCCCCGTTTTGTTTTGGGTCCTCTGGCTTAGGCTTTAACCGTTTTCCTGAAGTTTTGAAACATTAGGAGGACGGGCTAGGCAACCTCCCACGCCATGGTGACGTTATATAAACCTATTAACACAATAATAAATTTACACAGAGCATTACTGATTTACCCCTATTCATCCTCCACCTTCTGGTCTCCACCTCCTGGTCTCCGCCTCCTACACCAGTCAGAAAGGCTTACGTACCATCATTCCAAAATCATTATGATAATAACTTATTTAGAAGATAGGCGCAAGAATTGTTTGGAAAACTAGCTGGAAAATAAAGTTCTTTGGTAGTTGTTTGAGAGGTGAATGGGTTGTGGTGTTGGTTGTGGCAACCAACACCACAAAGGCCATCACAGCTATCTGAGGAGCTTGTGACGGTGGTTGTGATACTGATGGTGAAATTGTGGTAGTAGTGGGGGTAGTGGGTGGCAGAGTGGCAGTAAGGGTAGTTAGTGGGGAGGCATAGTGGTGGTGAAGGTAGTGGGTGGCAGAGATTGGTGGTGGTGGTAGTAGTAGTGAGGGTTGTGGAGGGGTAGAGAGTGGTGGTTGAAGGGTGCGTGGTAACAAGAGCCACAGTCTCCGTTAAGAGACAAGTAAGGTAAGGAAGCCCACAAGCTGTGATAAGCTGCGCCAAACCTCACTTATCCTTCAGTTCTCTCTCCTCACTCACACTTCCTGTTTCTCACCTTCTTTATTTCCCTCTCTCCCTCTCTCTTCCTCCCCCTATCTTGCTCAGCATGTGTGCTTGATGATAGACAGACAGTCATCTTTTAGTGCTGAGCACCTCAGCCCAGAAATAATCAAATGGGATAACAAAGACGTCAGAAAGTTTCGTCCTGGACCACTATCAAGCCCAGTGGAACGGCATGATAAGGGTCCAGCACGGACCGAAATAGTACCAAATTCTACTATGTAACTGTCTATCAAGTCTATGCATGTACGATGGTTCATATAGTTACAAAATATACTATCTAAACAGGAGATGGATTGTTTTATTTAGCCTCTGGTCTAAATATTTTTTAAACGAACTCGATTATATATTTGCAGCCATTTATAAATAAATGTCTTGAATATGAATTTGGAATTGACTTACCTGAGCTTTGACCAAACGTTGCTAATGGATGATCTTATTCATCAACCACACAACCATCACTTACAAATATAGCAATCCATTAACGGGTACTGCACGCGTGCTGCATCAAACGAGCCTAATAGGCATGTTCATGACATGGCCGAGACCGTGGGACCGAGTAAAGGTACTTGGAAAACATTAATAGCGTGTGTAAGAGGAGTGGTTCGCCTAATATAGAAGTGGCGGGTTTTTCTTTTTAAATAAAGCGCATATATGCATATGATCTTTTGTTTTAAGAAAATATTACATACAGTATACCAACATTAGCTCTTTTTTATATTGTGATGGAATAAATGTTACAAAGAGATAGTTCGTTAGCAAGCAGCATGTATATTTATATAGTCATGTCCAGGTGTTACATGAGCTGTGTGTTTAAACTGATATTACACAAGGGTAACCCAAGAGCTTGTGGTAAAAATGTTCTCAATTTTTGTATATTCCTTTTTTATATGGTCGTATATTCTGACATTACAAAATATGTGGATTAATCGCTCTCAGTTTCAGCTATTTTTATTAATGTTTGTGTTGCCCCTTTATGATTGTGTATTTTTTTTATTGTTTTGTATCAGCTTTACTTTTGTTCAAGTCAGAACTGTAAACGTGAATAATTTGATCTGATTTGTAATGTTATGGTATATCATGCACAGGGGACTATGGCTATCAAATATCATGTAGTTCCTATAGACGTCAAGTATACCCATGTTATAACCATTATCCTTTACGTACTACCATTATCGATGGAAATACTTACAAAAATTATTATTAAATAGTAATTGAGTTCCAAGTTCTATGGGGGTATAAAAGAATGTAATGTAAAACCTTAATCTTATATTTGCTTATTAAAAATCGTTATTGCCTGGCTCACGTATCCACGTGTAGATGGATACAGTATTGACTTCTCAAGCAAATTTTGGCCAGCTATGTCGCAGCGCAGTATGAGTTGTCTTTCGTGATAAGGCGCTAAGTGCCAGTATTCGAGGCATAAATGAGTGGTCATTGATTTATCAAACCCTTTCATACGCCTGATGTTGGTCACAGTTTACAGGTAACCAGCGCTAAGGAAGGTGGTCTTCATATCGCCCTCCGTCATGTGGCCGCTGTGGTACCTTGGGGGTGTCCTCTGGGTGACACGTCTGGTCGTCCCCGATGTCGTCGTCTGGTACCCACCAGTGGATGTCTCCGACACACAACTGGCATCAGGATGGTTGGACCAGGTAGGGGCACGCAGCGAGAGGACTTGCGCCATCATCGCCTCCAACACTCCCTCGTGTCACCTGTTCCACTACCAGGACGGTCTTTGCTCACTCTCTGATGTGAATGTTTCCTACGCGACCATGAAGACCCTCTCCATCACCCAGCCCCCCTCCCCACCCACCACCTCCTGCAGGACCAGATACGGCAGAGGTCAGTTGGAGTCATGCTCGGTTTTGAGGACGGTAGTTAGTTATTAATCCATGTGAGCATGTAACCATACACATCATTAATCCCTGTATGTACATGTGGACATACACATCATTAATCCCTGACGGACTGAAACATCGTCGTCCCTTCACTTTCTAGTGTGGTTTGGTCAACATATTTCAGCCACGTTATTGTGACTCATCATCTGCACACAGTGGATGTGCTGTGAGGACAGGCTGCGCAATGGGTGTCCGGCGGTGACAGCAACAACCCTATCACATCACCGCAGTGATTGGCTCCAAAACGTCAGGGCTAGAATTGACAGATGTGAAGTGTGCTAGTTTTAATAGAAGAGAAAGTATCTGTATATAGGTTCAGGTGATGGGTCGTGTAGTGTTGAAGAGATCATGTGTTGCGTGGTCTCCTGAGAGTGTTGTTAAGGAAATCAATGTGATACTCGTGATATGAAAGGAGTCTGTCAACGAACGATTTCAAATAGTTGTTGAGAGCAAGAATGTTTGTTCTGTTATGGAGACTTTCACTGGTATTTTCACTTTCTTGTTTTCTATCACCAAATGACCCTGTCCACCTACCAGTAAATAGGTACCCAGGAGTTAATCAGCATGTTGTGGGGTTGCATCCTCGGAATGGTCAGTAATTCGACCCTGGGGTGGGGGGGCTTTGTACTTTATACATACATACCATGTACTGTATGTATAAACTGGCTGCCTGTCCCTCGACACAATAAATTATTTGATTTTAATATACCGAAACTGTTTTGGGGAAAAAATATAACTTTATCGCTTCCATGCCAATCTCCGTGGATTGTGTACTTGTATCCATGACAAATTCTTGCTGTTACAGATTCTCATTGTGATATCTTTGCAGTGTGCTTTACGAATGTTGGAATGTTCAGTGAGGGAGAGACCTACATGCTGGAGTGTAAGAACGCCACCTGCAGTAAAGGTGTCTCCGTCTACACTGCGTCAGGTACGATCATGTCCTCATGCTGTCAGTGATCAAGATTATATCCAGTAATATAAAAAAAATAATAATTTCAATGTTTATTTCTGCGACAGCTGTGGCTGAGTGCAGCGCCCCCTTCACTATGGAGTCAGGCGTAGGCTGCGTCTATATGATGTCCACAAACATGACGTGGTGCGATGCCCGAGTGTTCTGTACCGACCTTGGAGGAGACCTCTACGTCCCAGCCAACTTTACTGCTCTTCAGTATTACCTTCTCCCCTACGCATACAAAAGTAATAAAGACTTTTAATTAATTTAGTTGCAATAATAAAATTAACGTCAACTGACGACGCTAAAGACAAGGTGAAAGATAAAACTGATGCCCAGCAAAATTCCGCACCGTAGGAAAATATTCATACCTGTATACATATAAACTTTTCATTTCTGTTTTGTCTTTGCAGATGTGTGGGTGGGTGTGAGAGATCAAAAATGGCTGAATGGGAACGCTGTGACAACCGCGGAGTGGGCTACAGGTAAACCCAATGATATGACGATCTACACCTGCTCTAGAATGGTACCTAGTAACAGCCTGTATAATCTTGATGACACAACCTGCTTTAAGGCTTCCTTCGTCTCCTTGTGTCAACGACAAGTTCCCGGAATGTGAGCACCCTTGAGGCAGCGAGGAAGTGGCAGCTGTTGCAGCTTCAAGCCCCACACTTCGTTGTTGGTTCAGCGAGGAGACCGGCGCTGCCACCGTGACGCCGCTTATACAAGTTACCGATGGTTCAGATATGAATATAAGCTCTGGATTATTTTCACTTGATCATTTAATACTTAACATTTAGAAATCTAATTCCATCATGAGGCTTAATGACCCATCCTGGTTATTATAGCACTTCTATTGAATTTAAACTTGCATCTTACGTATTATAAAATTGTTGTACTTACCTCTTTCATATATATAACGTCATGTGCCCTGTCTGTAACACCACAAATGGTTGTAGTTAATATTTCACTAATACAAGTAGTCTGGGGTTACGGGGCCCGTGCTACATGGACATTTCGTTCTGAGTAGCTAAATCTAAAACAACAAGTTGTCAGTTCACCCAGGATATTGGCGGCGCCATGTTGTCGATCTTTGCCATTTCAAAAGTCACTCCCTCAGAAGTGTTAATGTTCACTTGTTGTGCAGAGGTCAGGTCGTGTCATGGACCTTGCTCTCGGCTAAGCTGATACTTGCAATCGGGTGGCTGTGTTCTGTCCATCATACATGCCGCTGTCTAGGTGTGGTAGGAAGATGGCCCCAGGCTATTTCCTGGTAGGCGGGGCTTAAGCTCCTGGTTCTCTCTTAAATACTCGAGCAGTTGTACATTAGATATAAAGAAGAGCCTCGCTACACAGAGCCCTGCTCCTGTGCCAGGTAAGTTACGGGCTCACCATAGCCCGTGCTACTTGGAACTTGTTCAGAGTAGCTGAATCTATAACAACAACAACAGCCTCGCTAGACCAGAGAGATTCCAGCAGTGTCAGGTCAGAATCTACAGTGTCCCAGACCCACTGGGAGGTGGGAAGGGAAGGATGGCCTTGACAGTCAACTCTCCTTCTATAACCAACTTATGCTCAAACACCTTGGTGAGTTCAATTGTAAGGTGATGTATTCTGTGTTTTCCCTAATTATATGTTGTGTAATTTTCTATGGAAAGTCAGCCGTGTTGCTCTCAGTTCTTGTGTAGTGACTCCAATTCTGAATTAGTGTTGAGGAGGGGAAAGTCAAGGGACTTTAACTATCCATGAAATATATAATAAATAATCTCTAAGACATTTTTAATTATCTTCTGATCCTCTTACTCTTGGATTCATTTCTTGACTTATGATCGAATGAAAGCTAGAGTGGAGAGCACCCTGAAGGTTACTTAATAATTATTTTTGTTTACTTGGTTACAGTTTTTTTATCTGTTTATAATGATTATAGAGACGACTTCCATTCCTTCTCTTACAATTACCCTTAACTGGATGGTGGCAGCCCTTCTACTTCTTTTTTCTGCCTTTTCTATCTACTCTTACTCATATATACAGATTTGAGAACTGCCATTGAAACCTTGCAACAAGAACACGTAAGTGACAACATCAAACTGAACACAAATGTGGTCAGATGGATGTGTCTGCATTAATGCAAACACTCAAACGTCAAGGCCGTCGGGTACTTATCAACTGGGTGCCAAGTCATGTGGGCATAATAGGGAATGACATTGCAGACGAAGCTGTAATACTTGCATCTAAGAGAAGAAATGTAAACATTTATATACCACAGAGTCTATCACAGATTAAGCAAGTAATTAGAAATACAGCAACGCAGAAGATGTATAGTGACCACAACACAGCAGTTGCAACATCAGTATCTGCGGGGTGGTACAAGAATTCAACCAACTACGAAACACTTATTTTAATGAAAGGGAACAATAGAACAACAGAAGTCCACTTACATTGCATCAGGCTTGGATACCCATGTGCATGGGAAATAGGCTTACAGGTTCCAGAAGATGAGAGGAAATGTCAGCACTGTCAAGAAATGCCCGACAGATCACTGGAACATTATCTAACAGTGCACAGTTACAAACCATTAAGATTTCAACTTAGATTCAACAGAACAGAAGTTATTAAACATATGGGACAAAATCTTACTGAAGCGACCATACGAGTCATAAATACTCATACTCCTCCCAAGTAAAACAGAAACAAGCTACACTTAGAGAGCCAGCCAGAGGCTCAGGGCCCGCGCACGAATATCCCTGAAAAAAGTATAAAAAACACGCTCTCGTTATTACAAAATTCAAATTAAATACATTCATTTGATTTATAATTAAGTTATTGGATTTAAGTTCTGACCGTCAGTTCATTAACGGGATTTAAGCAAGTAATTATCAAAAGAAGGCACCAATAACTTGATTTAAGAGAATAATTAAAGTTCGTCAAGTCTGGTTGGTCGACGCCACAAGCACAAACATTGCGTCAGCACTTCATATTATTCATGAAGTGAAATAATGATTATGACAGAGGACAAGTCCTTGAGTTTAGTTTAATAATTAATATTTAATAATTAGTCCTAAAGATTTAAATAAGAGAACGAATCCTCATAACAATCTAACTTATTATTTTAAAGTTAGTCGTAGCGCAGTCGATTAAGGCAGCGTCTGGGATCTTCTTGAGGTTATCTTGAGATGATTTCGGGGCTTTAGTGTCCCCGCGGCCCGGTCCTCGACCAGGCCTCCACCCCCAGGAAGCCAGCTGACTAACTCCCAGGTACCTATTTACTGCTAGGTAACAGGGGCATTCAGGGTGAAAGAAACTTTTGCCCATTTGTTTCTGCCTCGTGCGGGAATCGAACCCGCGGCACAGAATTACGAATCCTGCGCGCTATCCACCAGGCTACGAGGCCCCCAGGGATGCTCTCGGACGTAGGTTCGAACCCTCGTCACGGCTCTTTTGGGTTTGTTCTTAAAGTTTCTATTTAATATGCGAGAAATTATTCCCAGTACCACTCTTTGCCAATCTTGCCCCTCTCTCCCAGTCACCACCTTCCATCCTAATATTTAATATGATAGATAAATCTTAGTGAGGACGGAATTTTGTTATTTAGCGAGCTTGAAAATGTGTGTATTTTGCCATTTCCTGATAGTCGCGTCCGTGACGTGGTGACGAGGAGACTTGTGATGCTCTCCGCTGCTACTGTCGTGTAGCGGGCGGACGTGCTTGTCGTCGCTATCGGCCGACGTGTTGACTGATGAGCCTGTAAACTCACATTGGGGGGTGGTATATGTGTCATCATGGGTTCCCACACACCCCCACTCAAGCGGAAGGAGTCCGTAGGACTCAAGTTCAGTGGTAACACTGATTATGACCTTGTCTGCACGACGATCTTCGATGTGCTACAGATAAAGATGGACGAAATATTTGGTTTCCAATCACTGGCAGGAAATAAGCAAGTAATCATCAAAAGAAGGCACCAAGCCGGGAAGGCTATGTAGCACCATCAAATGTGAGAAACAATCATAGGGCGTTAAATATCATTAAGGATGCCAAAATGAGAACAAAAACGGAGCCCCAAAAGCTTAGCAGAATCGTTGTACAAAAGGGGACGACCATATAGCGACAGAGAGGGACGAAGAACGACCTGCTTCCGAGTAAACGTCATAGCACAAGTTTTAGTTGTAGAGAACTTGAAGCCACGATCAGTGGCCCAAGACCACATGGCATCAATTGCAAGTTGAAGACGCTGTTGAAGGAAAGGCGAATCATCACCTCAACAGCAGAGGGTAAGATCGTCAACATAGAGACGGTGCTGGGAGTAGGGGACGGTGCTGGGAGCGGTGGAAGGAGCTGGGAGTGGTGGACGATGCTGTTTTTTTTATTATTATTATTTTCTACCACAGACGTGGCCACACATTAACAATGCTAATCAGCATATATACATTTTTTTCTGTCCGCCATGGACAGGGTTAGAGATTTGTTAAAACATATAGTTCAGGGATTTATTGAACAATCAACCACAGAAGGTGATTGTAGTGTTTTTAAAATGCTAGGCTAAGCTACATACGTAAATACATAAATAAACAAATTTACGTATATAAAGTGTTCGATGTGTCTTTTACGTAGTGTCATTAATGTGCATTTACAAAGATGAAATGGAATTCTGATCAGCTTCCACATATACTTTATACACATACGTATACACACAGACATATACGTACATATACATATATATACACACACACACATGCATACACATACATTTGTCTCTTTTACTCAGACAGGGTGAGATAGCTGATAGAGAAAGTAGTATGCAATTCGGTGCTCCGAGTGGTGTTGAGTTGTGGTAACAGCTTGAAGTCACTAGTACATTTAGTTGAAGATATATTTTAACGTAAATCTTGTCATCGTAAAATTATTACCGAGAAGCACTTACAGGTGAAGAAATTCAATGGTAGAAGGTAGCGTGCAGCTCCTGCGTCACCAGCCGCTGGGAGGTAAGTGCCATCACTGCCATTTGGAAGAGATATATAACTCACAAGAACATATTCTGCACAAAGCCTCATGTTTTATGCGAGGCTACTTCAACCTGCAAATACTATCCAACCAGAGGTATTTGCTTCGCTGACCGTCATTGTCAGTTTGTTGAGCTCGTCTTGAATCAGTGTTCTCCTATAACATTTTGAAATCTGAACATGTCAACATGGCTACAGATTCCAACATGGTTTTCGTAGAAATCGTTCGAATTCGAGCAATCTTTATTATACTGTATGTATTCGTGGTTCCTAGGTTTTATTATATATATTCGTGGTTCCTAGGTTTTAATATATATATATATATATATTCGTGGTTCCAAGGGAAATTAAATATTACCCACGTTTACTGCGGTAAACGGGGATATATATATATATATATATATATATATATATATATATATATATATATATATATATATATATATATATATATATATATATATATATATATATATATATATATATATATATATATATATATATATATATATATATATATATATATATATATATATATATATATATATATATATATATATATATATATATATATATATATATATATATATATATATATATATATATATATATATATATATATATATATATATATATATATATATATATATATATATATATATATATATATATATATATATATATATATATGTCGTACCTAGTAGCCAGAACTCACTTCTCAGCCTACTATGCAAGGCCCGATTTGCCTAATAAGCCAAGTTTTCATGAATTAATGTTTTTTCGTCTACCTAACCTAACCTAACCTAGCTTTTTTGGCTACCTAACCTAACCTTACCTATAAAGATAGGTTAGGTTAGGTTAGGTAGGGTTGGCTAGGTTCGGTCATATATCTACGTTAATTTTAACTCCAATAAAAAAAATTGACCTCATACATAGTGAAAAGGGCAGCTTTATCATTTCATAAGAAAAAAATTATAGAAAATATATTAATTCAGGAAAACTTGGCTTATTAGGCAAATCGGGCCTTGCATAGTAGGCTGAGAAGTGAGTTCTGGCTACTAGGTACGACATATATATATATATATATATATATATATATATATATATATATATATATATATATATATATATATATATATATATATATATATATATATATATATATATATATCAGTATCAGATGCACGGGGGAAAGAGGTGTTGGATTTAAGATGGGCCTTGCCCAGAATGAACCATCATACCCACTATAGCCACAGTGGGGACAGGAAGCTAGTGGCTTGTCAGAGGTTCCTCTATCATTCCTGATAAAATATTATTACTTTACATGTCTAGATTAATGTCATGTGCATCTAAACTTATGAGAAGTTCCTCTTGGTTTGCTATGAGACGCTCAACACCATCACAGACAACAGCATTTATTGACGTGATGAGCGCTGCTCCAGACACTGGGTGGCAATATTAGGTACCCAATGGAAGACACAGTTTATAGGTAACCGGCGCCGAGGTAGGTCGACAGTCATATCGCCCTCCGTCATGTGGCCGCTGTGGTACCTTGGGGGTGTCCTCTGGGTGACGCGTCTGGTCGTCCCCGATGTCGTCGTCTGGTACCCACCAGTTGATGTCTCCGACACACAACTGGCATCAGGATGGTTGGACCAGGTATGGGCACGCAGCGAGAGGACTTGTGCCATCATCGCCTCCAACACTCCCTCGTGTCACCTGTTCCACTACCAGGACGGTCTTTGCTCACTCTCTGATGTGAATGTTTCCTACGCGACCATGAAGACCCAGCCCCCCTCCCCGCCCACCACCTCCTGCAGGACCAAATACGACAGAGGTCAGTTGATGTCACGCTCAACTCTTGTTGTTTTATTGGCAAAAAGTTTCGTACATACATCATTAATCCCTGTACCCATATGAACACACGCATGCACATTATCATCATTAGTCCTACCCAGTTTGAAACTTTTCTAGCCTGACTTATTCTAATTTCACATGTATTACCTTCCTGTCCTATCCCAAATCCTTATTCTTATATCTCTTGTCATGAGGCTGTGGTAAATTTGTGGTTACATTGTGTCATTTACCCCTCCATCGTGCTCCTGGGCTGATATAATATACTCAAGTTTAACAGTTAGACAGCCCACCGAGCAGGGTACATGTCGGCCCGGCCCCCAGGGAGACTGCTCCCACCAGTCACTAAGTGTCAATCACATATATATCACATATATACCCCCCACGCTGGACACAATGCAATCTGACTGAATAACTTTACAGGTTTGTTACAGTTCTTCCCCTCATAACAAAACCCCTTGCACTGCCTGTTGACATTTACTTTAATGCTCAATATCCACCCCCTGGGACAGGAATAAAGGCTCACAAATGTAATAGGCGACTTAAACCTCTGAAGGAGATACACTTGGAATGTCCCTTAAGCTAAAAAAATCCTCTTCAACCGCACTCCTACAAAACATAGCAGATGTAAAGTACGACAGAAGTTGCACACGAATTAAATGAGCACGGTGGTCAGTACATAAAGGAAAAAATAAGGACTTATCTGGTGTAACAATGCCAACAGTCAACAAAACACACCCGTCGCGGACCAACTTCAGCTCCAAAATGAAAGCGGCGTCCTCAAGTTGCCACGATCAGCAAAAATTTCGTACAGTAACGCCTATTAATTGTAATCATACAACAACCCCCATTCTATTACAACAACACACAATAAATGATGTAACCGTCTGGCTGTCTCTTAATTAAATAATTTACTCAACAATTTCTCTTAAAATTAGCAAGGAGCTTACAGGGGTTTTAATTAGTTATGCGTTTGGCAGCATTCCTGATCATAATCCATGAGTAAAGTAAACTTTCAGGTATACACAGAAGCAGAATACACCGCTTTATATCACATGTTACAGTTTTGCTGTAGCCTAAATATGGATTAGTGCAGACTTTTATCTCCCTCGTGCATCTCTTTATTCTCTGATTATTGCAACACAACGTTATTTATAATAGTTATGTTCCTTCTTCCGGTCCTCTAAATAACAAGAATCCATCCTGTGAGTTAACATACCTACATAATTGCACAGGTTGTTCATCCTGCCAATTGTATCCAGACGCAGCTGGGACGGAATTATCTCAAATGAATAGGCTGTAAATTAAAGGGATTAACATTTACCAACCTTCACGCTTACACAAAAATAAAATAAAAAAATCTACCTCAATGTGTGATTTATTATATTAATGTATGTTTATCTTAGGTCGGTAGTCTCCCAGTGATGGAATAGACGCTGATTTATGCAGGTAATCTGCTTAGCTGTCGCTTCCATGCCAAATGTATCCAAGATGTTTTCTTGCTGTTGCAGATTCTCTCATTGTGATATCTTTGCAGTGTGCTTTACGGATGATGGAGTGTTCAGTGAGGGAGAGACCTACGTGCTGGAGTGTAAGAACGCCACCTGCAGTAACGGTGTCTCCGTCTACACTGCGTCAGGTACGATCATGTCCTCACGTTGTCAGTGATCAAGATTATATCCAGTAACGTAGCAAAAAATAATTTCAATGTTTATTTCTGCGACAGCTGTGGCTGAGTGCAGCGCCCCCTTCACGGTGGTGTCAGGCGTAGGCTGCGTCTATATGATATCCACAAACATGACGTGGTGCGATGCCCGAGTGTTCTGTACCGACCTTGGAGGAGACCTCTACGTCCCAGCCAACTTTACTGCTCTTCAGTATTACCTTCTCCCCTACGCTTACAAAAGTAATAAAGACTGAATGAATTTAGTTGTAATAATAAAATTAACTTCAACTGACGTCGCTAAAGATAAGGTGAAAGATAAAACTGATGCCCAGCAAAATTCAACACCGTAGGAAAATATTCATACATGTATACATACAAACTTTTCATTTCCGTTTTGTCTTTGCAGACGTGTGGGTGGGTGTGAGAGATCAAAAATGGTTGAATGGGAACGCTGTGACAACCACGCAGTGGGCTTTAAATTCACCCAATGATCCGACGATCTACACCTGCTCTAGAATGGTACCTAGGAGCTCACTGTATTATCTTGATGACACAAACTGCTTTAATGCTTCCTTCGTCTCCTTGTGCCAACGACAAGTTCCCGGGATATAAGCAGCTTTGAAGCACGAGGAAGCCACCCGTACCCTGCTAGAGACAAATTGCAGCGAGAAGCCTTATGTTTACCGCTAGTGCAGTTAGAAGCCTAGTTGCATTCTTGAGGCAACTAGGAAACAATCAAAATACGCTCACAGGATGAGTACGGGGATATACAATAAACTACAGCTTACAGAATGAGTACGGGAGTATACAATAAACTACAGCTTACAGAATGAGTACGGGAGTATACAATAAACTACAGCTTACAGAATGAGTACGGGGGTATACAATAAACTACAGCTTACAGAATGAGTGCGGGGGTATACAATAAACTACAGCTTACAGAATGAGTACGGGGGTATACAATAAACTACAGCTTACAGAATGAGTACGGAGTATACAATAAACTACAGCTTACAAAATGAGTACGGGGGTATACAGTGAACCCGTTCCCATTCTTTACTTTTTTTGGCCTGTCGTCCCCAACCTGAGTCTAGGCTGAAGAAAATAGATGTAATTAAATGACAATTTCAAAGTTAAGAAGAATGGAAAGATAATAGTAATTATCAACAGGTGTAATCTAGAACAAGTACAAAGAATACCTTTAATTTGAGTAATAATGTAATTATGGAATTAAAATGCTGTAATGACCGCTTACCCTGTCGTAATAACCGCGGCCTCTATTGTAATAACACAATGTTCCCCAGTATTAATCCTGTTATCGTGTTATCTCTCGTGATCGTAATAAATGCTCTCTGTTGTACATCTCTGTCTCTCTTCACTCAATACCCCAGCTTAACACTGTTACAGTCCAGCATGACCCCTCACTGGACGGCCACGTATATAAGAGGAATATTAAATGAGGAAGATACACCAAGGACAAGGGTTATTAGTTAAAACAATAACAAAACACATTTACACTGCCACCACCTTCCCGACCAACCATACCTGAATGTGTCTGTCACCGATCCCCCAGGAAGGCAAGGAATCAGTAACCATGGGACTCCGGGTAATATGAATTTCAGAAATAAATTTTGGAAAATTAGTTTGTGTAATGTACGTTACTAATTTGAATCCAAGGGCAACTTTAGTATCTATTAATTGTTAGGAGAACCTGGGGGCTTCCAATACAACACCTAAAAATGACAAAGTAGCAAAATATATCAAAGGGGAGTTAAGTGAATACCACTGGACAAGCTATACAATTTATTTTATGAAACATGTAAATTAAGACAATTTGAACACATAACCTATTCTATTTCCCTAGAGGCACAATGGATATTTACCGAGGACACAAAACTCAAGTGCTACTCTACCTTAAATACCCGCACTACGGCCACGATGTTGATGGCTGCCCTCAGCCCCGAGGATACGGGCGTGCGGCCCTGTTCCTAATACACTCCCAAGACACACTGATGAAATTTAGTTTTTCCAACTTATTGCTGGGAAGGATTACTCCTCCCACCATCTAATACAGCCCCAGGGCTCCACCCATTATTTTGGCAATGGCCAACCATTTAACACGTAGGCCTGAGGTCTGGCTCTCTAGGGTCAATAAGGACTTGGCCCTTATCTCAGGCCAATCACCTTCACTGATCTGTCGTGGAAAGCTACATGAATTCCTGAAGATTGAGTCAGCTCTCCCCAGCTAAAGAGAAGGGGGACAAGGCGCGTCTATGGAGCCCAAGCACCTGCGAGCAATATTTACAAAACTGATAAATTATGTTCAAGCCTGTCTCCTCTAAGATAGCGAGTAGGGACATTTGACTCTGCCTCGTATGGGGAAGAGGCCGGTGAGAGGGGAAGAGAGGGGATGAGAGGAGATGGAGAGGGGAACATCTGAGTGGGGAATTGAGTGGGAGAAGCCAAGGTATCCAAGACCACCCTACCCTCAGGTCAACCTCTTGACCCTGACAAATGGGCGACAAGGGGGGGGGGGAGGAAGAGGAGGAGACGAATGACGGCCAAGGGGATGGGAGAAGGAAGGAGGGGAGAGGGAGAAGGAAAGGAGGGGAGAAGGAGAAGGAAAGCAGGGGAGAAGGAGCAGGAGAGGAGGGGAGAAGGGAGAACCAATGAGCTGAGCCCCAGATCATTACAATGCTATTCATGAATGTGTACATTTATAGGTGGGCTAATTTACACATATTTACAGTAACTTATTTATTTACGAGTCATAATTATGATAATGTAATATCTGAAATTATAGACTGTATACTCAAGATACAGACTTAGATTTAGAAATTACATTAATTAATGATTTTAAAATCATTACAGTTGTCAGATTCAGCGTCAGAAACTACTATTTCCGTAACGTCTTATACAGATCGTTACAATAATGTGTGAACTAATGAGCTGTACATCAGTCAAAATAAAACTTTACATTTTTCGCATCAAATGAATGAGCTTGAATGTTCCGGCCTAGAGGAACGAAGCAACAGTTTTAATTGTGATTCAGACATAGATAAAATACTTACTGGCAATCACCATATAAGATTCCCCTAAATTATGTTTCCACTGGAGTATCCACTTTAACTATCACAACCTAGGCCTCGTAGCCTGGTGGATAGCGCGCAGCACTCGTAATTCTGTGGCGCGGGTTCGATTCCCGCACGAGGCAGAAACAAATGGGCAAAGTTTCTTTCACCCTAAATGCCCCTGTTACCTAGCAGTAAATAGGTACCTGGGAGTTAGTCAGCTGTCACGGGCTGCTTCCTGGGGGTGGAGGCCTGGTCGAGGACCGGGCCGCGGGGACACTAAAGCCCCGAAATCATCTCAAGATAACCTAACCTATTTCATTATACATATGTATCGCTGCAAGACATTAAACACGCCCTAACAGGGAAATCAGACTACTTAACTGAAAATACCAGCCTTTACAACCAGCATGCGTCCTCTGGTGATATCCAATTGATTGATGAAGATTGAGCCACCCAAGAGGTGGCACGGGAATGAATAGCCCGTAATGATGATGATAAGTTCACACTGAATATAAAGATCTCTTGTATTCACCCAGCCCCTAGACAAGGTATTGGCAGATCTATTTCTATTTTTGCAAAAGATAATTACAATTTTCTATACTGATCTTTGGCAAACGATGAGTCACAATAGCGTGGCTTAAGATACGAAGACTTAACCACACACCAGAAAATGAGACGACGACGACGTTTCGGTCCGTCCTGGATCATTATTAAGTCGAAACGTCGTCGTCTCATTTTCTGGTGTTTAGTCTTCAAACGGAGAATACATTGTTAATCTTTTACATTATTCCAATAAGTTATTCGCCAGAGCTTACACGTGGTTTCTATACAGACTGCCTTAACTAAGGACATTGTTTTTTTAAATCTACGTAATGGCAGAGTCGCATCAGCTGAGTAGTAGGTCTCTCTCGCCCTCGGCACCCGGGTCTATAGCACTAGTAATCAAGAAGGCTGACAGTGTAAGTGCAAGTGTGTGATCCCCATTAAGTGCTTCTAAAGTTGTGAAGCGCAGAGATTCGACTTTTGTGTATATATATATTTGAAGACATATGCCCTTACGGGCGTCTGGTGGCTGAGTGGATAGCACACGGGATCCGTAATCCTGTGGACCGGGGATCGATCCCCGGCAGTGGCGGAAACAAACGGGCAAAGTTTCTTTCACCCTGATGCCCCTGTTACCTAGCAGTAAATAGGTACCTGGGAGTTAGACAGCTGTTACAGTCTGCTTCCTGGGATGTGTGTGAAAAAAATCCGTTGATTGACAGTCGAGAGGCGGGCCGAAAGAGTCAGAGCTCAACCCCCGCAAGCACAACTAGGTGCATACATGGCAACCGCTCAGAACGAGTGGGTTAGCAAGACCTCTCCGCTGCCGAGCGACTTGCTAGGCGGCATGCAAGAAGAAGACTTCTGGGAGCATGATGATGCTTCCTCGCTTATTTCTGTTGTGAACTATCTCCGCTTTGTTCCCGAAGGAATCATCAGGAAATGACTGCAAACCTATAAAAAGCAAAATCGCGAAGTATAAAGAAAGGAAGTGACAGGCGCACAGAAAACAGCGGTCAGCGGAGCAGCGGTCGCCAACAATTCCACCAGTCATGAACCATTAAATTCGGAATTTTAAATCCCGCGGACCACTAATATGACCCCGTGGACCACTAATTTAAATCCTGCGGACCACTAATAACACACAGGTCTTATTAGTGGTAATTATAATTATAATCGATAATGGACCACTCATCTTTAACAATCATATTTGTTAAAGCAATTACTTATCTTTGCATATTTTCACGCATTCTCTGAAAATATGCAAGTGGTTTCCTAGCTAACTCCGGGTGTTTGGAGTGCAAGTGTCTTTCCAGTTTGAAAAGTTTTACGGCATCACTGAATAAACTCTCAGAACACAACACAAAGCGGCCGGGGATGATGCAGCTCATTGCCAGGTTCTTGAATAAATTCAAATTTCAGGTAGTTCGAATCATATTTTCTTTACACACAGATATCACAATAGCGTGATGCATCAAATGAACAAATCCACAAGGGCCGTGACGAGGATTCGAACCTACGCCCGAGAGGATCCCAGATGCCTTAATCGACTGAGCTACGACATGGTCAAAAGAATTGCAACCAGATTTGTTCATATTTTGTAATATTTTGAGTTTTGTTTTCTCCGCCTCCAGTTGGAATGTTGTTGGTAATGTTGGCTTACGAGGACTGTTGAGGCTCTGAATCATTGATCAGCTCACGGTCAAGTACACATATTACTATTATCATTAGTTACATTATCGTTTGTAGTGCAAAAGAAATGCAAAATATTCCTTTGTCTTCTTAACTTTTTATAGGTTTATTGCGTTCGAATCTGACACAAAACAAGAAATGACAGTTATTAAAGTCAAACTATTTGATGCCATTAAATATAACAGTTAAGGAAAATACAGTTACATACAATACACAAATAAAATAAAACATTCAGAATATAAGAATTTCTTAGAATATTATTTTTGACAACACAGCTATGTGAACTCGCAGCAAGACTCAGACTAAGAAAACACGGAAGACCTAGAGACCTTCACTAACTCACCAGCTCTATAATTGGCATAGCTTTCCCACCGTGACCGACCCCCCCCCCCCCTAAAAAAAAAGCTATCTATCCATTTACAGATTTCCAGTATCAGCTATTGGTAATGGCTCCAGAGAGCCTCCACTTACGGGCTATCCATCCCCGTGCCACCTATTGGGTGACTTAATCTTTATAAATCAATCAATCATCAATCTGTAAATCCATCCTTCTGAAGATGTATTATTAAATACGAAAGTACTTAAGGAAATTCGTCTTAATCCTTCCTTTGTGGGCTGACACTGTCACATTGTTTATCACATGTTAATTTTCGTGATATATATATATATATATATATATATATATATATATATATATATATATATATATATATATATATATATATATATATGTCGTACCTAGTAGCCAGAACGCACTTCTCAGCCTACTATGCAAGGCCCGATTTGCCTAATTAGCCAAGTTTTCATGAATTAATTATTTTTTGACTACCTAACCTACCTAACCTAACCTAACCTAACTTTTTCGGCTACCTAACCCAACCTAACCTATAGAGATAGGTTAGGTTAGGTTAGGTAGGGTTGGTTAGGTTCGGTCATATATCTACGTTAATTTTAACTCCAATAAAATAAAATTGACCTCATACATATG